GAAAAAAATTAGCTGGGCATGGTGGCGCGTGCCTGTAATCCCAGCTACTCAGGAGGCTGAGGCAGGAGAATTGCCTGAACCCAGGAGGCGGAGGTTGCGGTGAGCCGAGATTGCACCATTGCACTCCAGCCTGGGTAACAAGAGCGAAACTCCGGCTCAAAAAAACAAACAAACAATATCTATCCCCCCAAGCCATGAGGCACCTTGAAAGGACAGACCTCCCGTGGGGCATTTACCAGATGCTCAATGCACATAGCCCTTTTTCTCCTTTACTTCCCCTCCCTGCCAAGTTAGCATAAGGCTCTAATGAAACCACTGGCAAGAAAAAAACAAAACCCCACCAGGCTGAGCAGGGAAGTCTTCCTGGGAGCAGTACTATTTTCTCTACTTTTCCCATCTTCCCTGGCACCTCCCACCTAGGGCCAATCCAAGAAGGCATTTCCCAAAAATGTCTTCCAGGGACTACTGGTCTCCCAAGATGCTAGGTGAAACACAAGGTTCTATATTCAAAGATATCTGGGGAATGCTGCACATTCTAGCCCCTGAGAGGCTTATGACACATACTGTCTTAGTAAAGCCTCTGAGAAGTCCTGCGGTGACAAAACCCTGTGTGGCTGACTCAAACCGAGGGTTGCCCAGGGGGTCCACAGAGCCCCTGTTGTCCACGGCACCGATGGAGGCCTAGTAGAACGAGTGTTCCTCAGAGGACCTTGGGGAGATGTCGCTTTAGATAGCCTCTCACTCTATGGTCATAACCAGCATTTAAGGAACACATTCCATCATCCAGATATTTATGCTTCTTCGGGTTCTCTCTAGATTGGATTCATGACCTCCACCTTCTTTTGAGGCTCACAACTCTTAGAAACAGGGTTGAATATCAAAAGAAAAAAGAAATATCCCTTCTCTTTCCCCACTAGATTGGGAAAGAATTTCTCCCGACTATGGTTCAAATATTTGTATAAAACCTTCCTGAATCGGACTGAATGGATGAAAAACAGTCACAGGTCTCCTGGGAAATAGAAGGCTCTGTTCTCTCAGAGCTGGTGGCAAGGGACCTCCACAGGTCACTGAGTTCAAGGATAGCAAATGTGAGATACACTGGCCTCTACTCTGTCTGTGCCCAGGGCAGACATAACTAACTGATCATGGCAGCATTCCCTTTGTCTATGGCCATGGTGGACATAACTGATCACAGTACTCTTTCCCACTGAGTCTGAAGGCTGCCTCAGAAGCTGTCAGGACAGGGCACCAGGCAGCTGCTTCCTACTGGTCATCTCTGGTCTAGACAAACTCCTTATGGCAGTGGTAGGAAACCCAAGACCCAGAAAGCAGAAGTTACCTGCTTAAGATTACATAGTCAGTTGGTGGCAGGGTAGAAACAGAGCCCAGGGCTCTCAAGGTCTATCCCAGTGCTCTCTCCACTGTACCCTGTCCCCCATGAGCCTCAGAATGTCCTCAGTCTAGGAGTTAGCGGCCAGCCTTGGTTTAGACTTCAGCACAGGTTAAAATGTCAGTTACCTGAGGCTGGTGTCTAGGACTGACTGGCTGCTCAGGGGTATGGCTGAACTCTAACCTAAGGCATTCAGGGCCCAGGTAGGCTTGCAAAGAAGGGAGTGTGTTGATGGGGGAAAAACACACTACTTTTAAAGCACTGTACTTATTTTCACAGGGAAGTGGGTTTAAAACATTTGCTCTAAATTAGCATTAGATCATCACTGTGGTCTAAACAGGCTGGATTTGTTGCCTTGGTGGCAGGGCCTGACATTTTGAGACATCAAACATGCAGTTCTTTTTCTTTTCTTTCTTTCTTTTTTTTTTTTTTTTTTTTGTGAGGCAGAGTCTCACTCTGTTGCCCAGGCTGGAGTGCAGTGCTATGATAACGGCTCACTGCAACCTCCGCCTCCTGGGTTCAAGCCTCCTTACCACCTCAGCCTCCCGAGTAGCTAGAACTGGAGGCACGTGCCACCATGCCTGGCTAGGGTTTTTTTTTTGTTTGTTTTTGGACAGGGTTTTGTCATGTTGCCCAGGCTGTCTCAAACTCCTGGGCTCAAGTGATCTACCCGCCTCGGCCTCCCAAAGTGCTGGGATTACAAGTGTGAGCTACCACTCCTGGCCCACACATGCAGTTCCAATGGCCACCACTAGATGGCAAGGAAGACATGTGTCGGGACCTGCAGGCTCCGACTAAGAGCCTTCCAAAGAATACACTGCACTTGCCACATGAGCAGGCTTTTTATTATAAGTAATCTACCTTCCTTCCCTCCTTCCTTCCTTTCCTCCCTCCCTCCCCCTTTCCTTTCCTTCACTCTCTCCTTTTTTTTTTTGAGACAGAGTCTCACTCTGTCACCAGGCTGGAGTGCAGTGGCGTGATCTCAGTTCACTGCAACCTCTGCCTCTTGAGTTCAAGCAATTCTCCTGCTTCAGCCTCCCACGTAGCTGGAGCTACAGGCACATACCACCACGCCTGGCTAATTTTTGTATTTTTAGTAGAGATGGGGTTTCACCATGTTGGCAAGGATGGTCTCTATCTCCTGACCTCGTGATCTGCCTGCCTTGGCCTCCCAAAGTGCTGGGATTACAGGTGTGAGCCACTGTGCCCAGCCTATTATAAGTGACTTTCTATTTTAAGCAGTAGTGTAAATATTTACATGAGGCCAGGCGCGGTGGTTCATGCCTGTAATCTCAGGAGTTCAAGACCAGCCTGGCCAACATGGTGAAGTGCTGTCCCTACTAAAAATACAAAAAATTAGACAGTCATGGTGGCGTGCACCTGTAGTCCCAGCTACTTGGGAGGCTGAGGCAGGAGAATCACGTGAACCCAGGAAGTGGAGATTGCAGTGAGCTGAGATTGCACCACTGTACTCCAGCCTAGGTGACAAGACTAAAACTCTGTCTCAAAAAAATAAAAAATAAAAAAAATATTTACACAAATACCAATTATCTGCCCTTGCATATCAAATTTAAGTAAAACTACTACTCAAAGAAATGTATTTTAGAAAACCCCTCTGGGCACCTTCCGCCACTCTTGGTCTCAGTTGTCCCTTCTGTGCCCCTCTGTGGCCTGTGTGCCACCTCCTTCCACACAGGGAGAAGCTTCTCTCCTTCTATGAGGCTTAGCTCAAGTGCCCCTCCTGCTATAGGATTTTTCTGTGCCCCTGCAGCACAGATTGAACTCCAACAGCAGGCCTCAAGAAGGTTACATCTACATAGAGAAAGGTTTCTGGGAGGCCTCAGCACACCCTCTGCCACTGCTGCTATTTGGAGAGAGGGTGGGTTGTAGAAAGGACCGGGCTTGAGGCCGGGGGCCAGGGTGAGCAGTTGGCTGGGCCAGCATTTGTACCTCGTGGAACCTGTGAGGCAATACACAGGTTCCATAGCCTCTCAGACCCTCTCATGCCTCATCTGGGCATGGGGGCACCAGTGAGGGTTTTCGTGAGGATTAAATGCCATCAGGTGTTAGGCACCTGGCCTCTAAGAGGCCCCATTACACCTTACTTCCTGCCTGGCCTTTGTGTGAAATGTAAAAGTTATTATCTATTCTGATCTCATAGCTTCCAGCTCCCTTCACAGCTATTCTTACAAGAGACTTTGCAGGTTTTGTGGATTTTAACATGTTCAAACAAGTGAGAAGTACAGGGGCTTCTGTCAGGCTGTTGAATGAATGAAATTTCTACAGACCTGACCTGTGGCAGACATTTAGTGTGGCATGAAATCTGAACATATTTTCCAAGGAGGCTTTGACTGAGAGGCATTATTGTTGGAGTTTAACTCTTAATTCCCAGGAATTGTACCTATACATGCTCAATTTCACCCATTTTAGGCTGGAAATAGAGTATGAAAAATATCCACCTTTGGGAACCATTCAAATTTGAGTAAGGACACTGAGTGTTGATTCTGTGTTGAATAAATGTCACACACCACCTATTCTAAACAAAGGGCAGCATAGCTTATGTAAATTTTGCTTAGGTATACGTGTATTTAAATTGAGTCAAAACTTGCTTTGGGAAAATATCTGCAACTATGCAACTTCTACTGAAATAACTGGGGCTGGAGAGGGGGCGGGGAATGACAGTCCCTCACAGTCTTCGAAGGGACAGCCCTGTGAGCCAGATGGCCTCATTCCCTATTCCCACTCCCTCCCTCCATCTCTCACCAACTGGACCACAAGTGGAAATTATTCCTGGCTGGGCCAATCAGGTTCTTTCTCTGGTGAATTTAGGACTGGAACATGAGGGGTGGGTTGGGAAGACTGGCTGAAAGGCCCAAGACTCAGGAGCTGAGGTCTCCATTCTGACAGCCTCAATGGACCCTAAATGTCCAAAGAATGAACAGAGAGAGGCTGTTCTGCTGGCAGAGAAGGAAGCAGACATGCAGAATGAAGAGAGGCCAGAGGCTATGCAGCTGCAGAGGGCAGCAGAGCAGCACCTTAGTGCTATACGGCCTCAGGGGATGGCATTCACAGGACTGTGGCAGGAGGCTGCCACCCGGGGGCTGTGCAGGCTGCGGCCCTGCTGCAGAGAGCAGCTGTCTTGGCTTCCAATGACCATCTGGTCCTCAGCTCTGCTTTCTTTTCCTGGCTTCTGTGAGCTACCCTTGTAACACTTAGAAAGCCCCTCTTCCCTGGGTCTTCTGTGTGGGTTTCACTGAAAGCAAATGATTCCTGACCCAGGAGTCCTGCCATATGTTGAGTGGGGCCACACCCTATAGACTCCAGCAGGTGGTTTGAGATGCCATGTGAGTCTTACCTCCCCAAGCACAAATCAAAGGAGAGAGCAGGGACACAGGGCCTGGAGCTCCCAGCTCTGGCCCATCTCTGTCTTGAACCTGTCCTCTCGATGGCCTGTGGGTGGGGACCATGCTGCCTGGGCTCATGTCTCCAGGTTCTTGGGAGGCTCCAAAGAGACAGAGCAGTGCTCTAAAACAGCAGCTCCCAGCCTTTTTGGCACTAGGGACCATTTTTGTGAAAGACAATTTTTCCATGGACTGAGGTGGGGGAGGGGTGGTTTTGAAGCTGTTCCACTGCAGATCATCAGGCATGAGATTCTCATAGGGAGTGAGCAACCTCGGAGCTCGAAATAGGGTTCACGCTCCTGTGAGAATCTAATGCAGCCGCTGATCTGACAGGAGGCAGCGCTCAGGTGGTAACGCTCTCACCCACTGCTCACCTCCTGCTGTGTGGCCCTGTTAACAGGCCACAGATGGCTACCAGTCCGTGGCCTGAGGGTTGGAGACCCTTGCTCTAAAAGGTGAAAGTCACACCTTCACAGGGCTCTGCTGGCTCACCTGTTTAGGCCCTGGCAGTAGCCGATGGTGGGGTTCTGCCAGGAGAAGGCCAGCAGCACACGGCGGAGCTTGTCGGGGAAGCTGGAGGTGGGGCAGGTGAAGTGCTTGTTGTTGGGGAAGGTCCGGTTCAGGTCCAGCTCGATCTGGCGGGCAGCAGGCTGCTCACGGGCCCGGCCCCGGCTCAGCAGTTCCTGGTAGCAGCCCGGGGTGTGCATGTGCTGGACACGGAGATGGACCAGCCACCTCCAGACGCGAGGCCGGTGTTCGCGGGGCACTCCCCCCCGCAGCAGCTGCTTGAGCTCAGCTGAGGGCACAAGCTCGTCCAGGGCAGCCCAGCGCTCCCGCAGTGGCCGATCCACAGCCTCGAGGCCCAGCAGGTGGTGGGAGCGCACCTCCAGCGCCTGGATCTTGGCCAGCAGCTTCAGGTCTTCTACCTCATAGTCGGGCACCGTCAGGAAGCCGTACTCATCATACTGACTGACAGCGAAAGTCCATGTTAGCCACACCTTGCAGAGCCCTGCCCTAGATAAAGAGGTATGGGGGGCAGGGAGGACCCCAGGCCAGGTTCCTGCTCTGCCTTCACTGAGGGTTAGCCATCAGCTCTGGGCAGGCCACTTCAGTTCTCCCAACCTCACGTTGTGAATCTCTATAATGGGTATAGGAATCTCTGCTCTGCCTCATGAAGACCCAACGAGATCCTCTGTTGTTAAGATGCTGGGGGCCTAGATAGTGCCTAGTACACAGAAAATGCTCAAGAGATATTTCCCTTCTAATTCTATGCAAATATAAAGGACCTCTTTATTACTCCATGCAGCCTTAGGCCTCAGGAGCCCTGCACTGTGCACACTGCGCCAATGACAGGCAGAGGGGGGAGAACTGGGGACGCATTCCAGGTGGCCTTTCATGTACTCAGCATTGACTCACCTCCACTCTGTGCCCTGCCTGCACAATCTCATTTAATCCTAACAATCCTGCAAAGCAGCTGTTTGCCCAAATCTTTTCTTTTTTTCTTTGAGACAGGGTCTCACTCTGTTGCCCAGGCTGGAGTGCAGTGGTGTGATCTCAGCTCATTGTAGCTTTGACCTTCTGGGCTCAAGTAATCCTCCTACCTCAGCCTCCTGAGTAGCTCGGAGTACAGGTGTGCACCACCACTCCTGGCTAATTTTTGTGTTCTTTTTTGGTAGAGACAGTGTTCTACCATATTGCCCAAGCTGGTCTCAAACTCCTGGCCTCAAGCAATTCGCCCAGCTTAGCCTCCCAAAGTGCTGGGATTACAGGTGTGAGCCACTGTGCCCAGCTCTTCACCCACATCTTATGGAGGCTGAGTACAAGGCTCAGAAAGGTGAAGGGACTTGCCATGTGGCAAGAGAGCCAGGACGGGCTCCAAAGCTCTAGCTCCTGCCACTGGACTGCTCAGCCTCCAGGGGCCTCTGAGAACAGCCCCCCTCCTTTCTAGTTCATGGCCCGTGTCCACTGTGCTCAGCAAGGGCTTGGTATGGAGGACAGAGCCTGCTGGTCTCCCCACCTCCCCTCTCTGTAGAAATGCAAAGCAGGGGGCTCTGGAGGCAGCCTGGGCCGAGAATGCACCGTCGGGGGCTGCCTCCTCTGAGTGCACACCATCTCAGCTGCAGCCACATGCTCATGCAGGTGAAGATCATAGGAGGTAACACTGTGCTGGAATTGCATGTGGTTGGCAGGAACTGGCAGCAGGGCAGCTGGGGTGGGGCTGCCAGCTCACACAGACCAGCCCTGCCTAGGCCACCCGGCTCACCTGATGGGGCTCAGCTCGATGCCGTCAGCTGAGGCCTCCCCAGCTTCCCACTGCAGCGCCTCCTGGATGAGCTGCCTCAGCAGCTCTGAGCACTTGCTGGGTTCGTCTCCCAGGGCCTCCTGCAGCTTTTGCAGCCCAGCCAGGTACTTGCTTTCCACCTGGCAGTTTCTGGCCTGGAGGTAGGCACACTGCAAGCAGGTAAGGGCTGATCAGGCTACCTGATGGGAGCTGGGCTACCCCAGAGGCCTGAGGCAGCACAGCCCTTCCAGCTCTCATCTGCCCCACTCCCGACTCCCACATAAGGGAAAGGAGATAGGCCCTCAGGCCAGTGGTTTACAGCAAGGCAGGCAAGAGAGGCCCAGGCCCAGGTTGGAGCTGGCTCAGACGAAAGAGGAAAGGGACATGCAGAGACAGCACAGGCTCTTATACAGCTTACGGTCCCATCGTGGTTCAGCCACTGCTGGCTGTGTGGCCTATGGCAAGTTACTTAACTTCTCTGTGTCTTCTTCATCCATAAAATGAGGATCATACAAAGTCTGCCTCAGGATTCAGGTGAGGATCAGATGAGTGGATGTGTGTAAATTCCTTCCCAGGGCGCCTGACACAGAGCATGTTCTGCAGGTGGTATAACCGAGCAGCCCCCGAGGGACAGACACTGCCCTCGTGCCCTCTGCTGCCACCACCTAGGCTCTTTCTGTTCCTCCAACACACATCCCTCCTACTTCACAGCCCTCCTGCACCCTCGTCCCTTGCCTGGGACACTCCACCTCTCCCTCCCCTTGAACTTGTATGTTTCCATTTATACAAGCTGGACGGTGCTAGGCAAATTCCCTGTTGTCCATTTTTGTGATACGGGGACAGTGACCTCTGGGCCACCCCAAGTTCTATCTCATCCTGGGTGGCGGCCAGGGAACAATTCTGCCCAGTCTCCAACTCCAAACACTTGCCGGGCACCAGCTCCAAGCCATCCTCTGTGCCTGTGCTTCTTCCTACCCAACCTGGCGCCAGCCTCTGTGGCCAGGGCTGCTTCCTGAGTCCCATCAGTAACACCTGTTTCAGGGATTGATTGCTTTGTTTTTTTTTTTTTTTTTTTTTGAGACGGAGTCTTGCTCTGTCACCTAAGCTGGAGTGCAGTGGCATGATCTTGGGTCACTGCAACTTCCACCTCCTGGGTTCAGAGGCTTCTTGTGCCTCAGTCTCCTAAGTAGCTGGGATTACAGGTGTGCACACCATGCCTGGCTAATTTTTGTATTTTTGGTAGAGGCAGGGCTTCACCATGTTGCCCAGGCTGGTGTTGAACTCCTGGCCCCGAGGGATCCACCTGCCTCAGACTCCCAAAGTGCTGGGATTACAGGCATGAGCCACTGCACCTGGCCCCTCCTCAGGGATTTCTGCTACTGATTCCAAACACTCTCTCCACTTCCGGACTCACCTCCTCAAGCCTACTCACCTGAGCAGTCTTCTTGGAACAGGAACAGAAGTCTGACTGAGGACCTCTCCACTTACAATCCTTCAACTCCCATTTCCTTGGAGTAAGCTCCAAACTCCTCATCTCAGCCTCATGTCTCACTCTCCCCAGCCTTGCCCCCCACCTCTCAGGCCTCAAGTCTTTACTATACTGTCTCTTTTCCTGGAAGGTCCTTCTCCAGTGTTTGCCTGGATAACACTAACTCATTCTTAGGACTCAATTCAGAAGGCACCTCTTCCAGGAAGCCCTCCCTGACTTCCTTCCTCCCTTTGGGCTCCCAAGAAAAGCCCAGTTGCATCTTGATTGTGTTACACTCCCTCACTAGTCTACACCCTCCTTGGGGGCAGGAACCAGGCATAGTCTCAGTGTCCCTATCCCATAGCTACCCAGTGAACACTGCAGAACAAATGACTCAATGGCCAGACCACAGAGGTCTGGAGAAGAACCTGATATGGGCCCTGTCACAAGGGGTCAGTTCAGAGGGAGAGAAGCAGTCAGGAAATGAGAGTGAGACAGGGTGGGCAGCACGGGGACCAGCAGAGGGGCTGGGGATGGAGTCGGCAGGAACAGGGCCCCGCCCCGCACCTTCGTCAGGAGGGCCTTCTCCTTCTCAGCTGCCTTTCTCCAAATCTTTGTGACCTGGTGGATCTCGGAGTTGAGGAAGCGGTTCTGGGTCCGGTAAGCCTCCATGTCATCCTGGAGAAGAGAGTAAAGTATGTTATGAATCGGATGTAAACATCTCCCTGGTTCTGGGGAGTCACACCCTCAAGTGAGCTGTTAAAGCTTCCTTTCTTTAGACATTTCCAATAATGGCAATGGAAGAGGAAGACTGAAAGAAAAAAACATTACTCATGACCCCTTTCTCTATTCTTGATGTCAGCATGATGTGGTAGAGAGAGCACTAGGCCTGGATTCAAGCCCTGGCTGGAAGGCCTCAGGCAGCCAATGAACCACTCTGACCCTCTGTTTCTTCATCTGGGAAAGGGGCAAATACCAACTAACTTACTGGGCAGTTGGGAGACTGAGATAATGTGTGATAACGCTAAGTACAGGGACCAAAACATAGCAAAGTGCTCAAGTAGTGTTTTTTAAAAGCAACATATTTTATCATCTATAATCATACTGTAAAATTAACTCTGTATCTTTTTTTGAGACGGAGTTTCGCTCTTGTTACCCAGGCTGGAGTGCAATGGCGCGATCTCGGCTCACCACAACCTCTGCCTCCTGGGTTCAGGCAATTCTCCTGCCTCAGTCTCCTGAGTAGCTGGGATTACAGGCACGCGCCACCATGCCCAGCTAATTTTTTGTATTTTTAGTAGAGACAGGGTTTCACCACGTTGACCAGGATGGTCTCGATCTCTTGACCTCGTGATCCACCTGCCTCAGCCTCCCAAAGTGCTGGGATTATAGGCGTGAGCCACCACGCCCGGCAATCTGTAAACCTTTCAATGCTGCTACCTAAGCTTCCCGATAGTCATTTTTAACATCTGGGTGATGACTCTATTGGGTGAATTTACCAGAGCGAACTCATAATCCTTTCCCTGTTATTTTTTAATTTGAACCCTGCGTGTCTGCAGTTGGTTTTGATTATGAATAATGCTGTGATGAACATCTCTGAGTTTCCCCTTTGCAAGTTGTCCATCCAGTGGAAGGAATGAGCTCCTTGCTGCTGGGGCATACAAGGAGAAGCCAGATAAGCACTGGGAAGGTTCGAGCAAGGACCTGAGCCTCAGAGAAGGATCAGCTACAGCAATGGCTTTCAATTCTGCTGGGATGGACTTACAGAAGCCATTCCATCACAAAACATATGCTCAGAGCTATACCTCCCAATTCCAGGGTATTTGCTGACTGAAACTCCAGCCCTTTCTCTCCCATTGATGAATAGGCTACAGGTGAGTGCAAGAGAAGTGGCAGCAGGGATGACTCTGACATGGCCTGATTTATTTGGAAATGAAGAACATCACACGTAGTTTGGGGCACTTCATCATCAGGGTCACATGTGCACAGCCCACAGGTGGTCCTGGCCCTCCCTGGGTGGGTCTTCACTCTGGCCAAGATGATCTCCAAGGTCTTCCCAGCCTGGAAGCTCTCATGCATGACCAGGGGCTGCTGCCTTCTGCCCAGAACCTGACACACTAGAAGGGCCTCTGCTCCCAGGGCAGGGAACAAATGCTCCAGGTGGACTTCATCACGTCACCCCCTCAGCACTCCATGGGGGCTCTTTGTGGTGCTCCCACTGCAGACACCCCTGCTTTCATCTCCCTCGCTGTGCTAAGGCTGAAAGTGCCTCCACTCAGCTTGTTCTCTGCCTTCTCCTGGCTGGACTCAGGCAATTCCAACCCGTGGTGCCGCCCTCCTCCCCCTGACCAATCCTGTCCCTGCCCTAGATCAAAAACCCAGCTTCCCTGCCTCTCAGAAATGCTGCCGTGTGTGCCAGTGGCTCTGGTGGCAAGTTTCTGCTTGCTTCTCCAGAATCCCCATTTCCTATTCATATGTGGTAAGAAGTGAAAATCCTGTTTGTGGTGCAGGGACCAGCCTCCCAGGAGGATCGGGACTTTCCAGGACCACTCCCCACTCTCCCTGGAGCCTAACACTTCAAATCTGGAGAAACAGAAACTTATGAACACAGAGGCCAGGCAGGCTTCCTGCATCACCCCCATCACGAACACCATGCTGCTTACATTCTCTCGTTTCGTCCTCCCAGCAGCCCTGGAAGGGATGTTCTTTTATTATTCCTGTAACACAGGTGAGGTCTCAGAGGCTCTGAAAGGGTAGGTCACTTGCCTAAGGCACAGCCAGTATAAGGCAAAGTGTGACCAAGCCCAGGTCTGTCTGATTCTTTTTGTTTGTTTTTTGAGATGGTCTTGCTTTGTCGTTCAACCTGGAGTGCAGTGGCATGATCATGGCTCACTGCAGACTTGACCTCCTGGGCTCAAGCAATCCTCCCACCTCAGCCTGTCAAGTAGCTGTGACTGCAGGCATGCACCACCATGCCCAGCTAATTTTTGGATTTTGTAGAGACAGGATCTCACAATATTTCCCAGGCTGTTTTCAAACTGCTGGCCTCAAGCAATCTTTCCACCTCGGCCTCCCAAAGTGTTAGAATTATAGGCGTGAGCCACAGTGCCCAGCAGGACTGTCTCATTCTAAAGCCCTAACCACCAAACTTCCTGCTGGGCACCCTCTAAGCGCCCCACCCGCTGGAATCCACCTGGATGCCTGTACTCTAGTCCCTGACCTCCAAGGGTCATCCTTTGGTGTCTCCTGGCTACACATACACAGGCTTCATGTGACCTCTCCGGCCCATCAGAAAGTATAACAATACATCAATTAAAAAAAAAAACCAAAAACATCAAAGACACTGGCGTTGGCCATGTACTGGCATTGCCTGGTGGTCAGCAGCATGAATGCTGCAGCCATGCTGTCTGGGTGGAAATTCTGTCTTGACCACTGCGCCCCTGGGCAAATTATTTCACCTCTCTGTGCTGCATCCTCTCATCTGGAAAACGAGGGTAATAACAGTACTACCTCCGGCGGCTGGGAGAGGATTCTGTTAGTTAATATGTGCAAAAGGCTCAGAACGGTGCCTGGCATGTGGCAAGCACACCGTGAGCCTCTTCTCCCTCACTGGGTTTGCCTGACAACTCAAGAGCTATTACTCCCACCCTGCACTCAGCCCCTCAGTTGGCTGAGAGAGTTCTGAATCCAATGCCCATGGAAATACAACATGCCCCCATAAGGGAGGAAAGGACCTACCTGACCTGGCCCATCTCCCTCACATCCACAATGCTGTGGGATAAATATTAAAGCACCCTAATTCCCATTTAACAGCTGAGGAAACACACACAGAGAAGGTAGGTTCCCCTTGTCAGGAAAGAGAGCCAGGATCCAAACCCAGGTGTGTTCAGCCCATGGCAGGTGCTCAACAGACACTGCGGAGAGAAAGCAGACCCAGCTCCGGTGCCAGACACCGCTCCACACCACTGGGTCTCCCTCCCTGATGCCACCCCTTCCTCTTCCCAGGTCTAGACGTGCTCATGGATATTCATTTACTTATTTTTCTTATTTATTAATTTTTTTGAGGTGCAGTCTTGCTCTGTTGCCCTGGCTGGAGTGCAGTGGCGTGATCTCGGCTCACTGCAACCACCATCTCTTGGGTTCAAGTAATTCTCCTGACTCAGCCTCCTGAGTAGCTGGGACTACAGACACGTGCCACCACACCTGGCTAAGTTTTTGTATTTTTAGTAGAGATTGGGTTTCACCATGTTAGCCAGGATGGTCTTGAACTCCTGACCTCATGATCCATCCACCTCAGCCTCCCAAAGTGCTGGGATTACAGGCGTAAGCCACCATGCCCAGTCTTTTTTTTATCTTTAGAGACAGAGTCTCACTTTGTCACCCAGGCTGGAGTGCAATGGCATGATCATAGCTCACTGCAGCCTTGACCTCCTGGGCTCAAGCGATCCTCCCAGCCCCAAGTAGTTGGGACTACAGGCATGTGCCACTATGCCCAGCTAATTAATTTTTACTTTTTTGTAGATATGAGGTCTCATTATGCTGCCCAGGCTGGTCTGTAACTCCTGGCCTCATGCAGCCCCCCTACCGTGGCCTCTCAAAGCACTGGATTACAGGTGTGAGCCACTATGCTCGGCCCCACACTGGTATTTCTAAGGCTTTGGAAAGAAGGCTTTTATCACAAAAGGTACCCGGCTTCCAGCCCCAGGGAAGGCACAGACACACTGGACAGGCTGGATAGGGAGGCAGAGTGAGCACAGCCCAGAGCAGCAGTGGCAGCAGGTGGCATCAGGCAGCACCGTCCCCTCTAGCTTGGTGCCCTACCTTGAGTTCTCGTCTTGACTCAGAACTGTAAGGAGAAAAAGAGAAACCTCAGAAAAGAGAAAAGTCACAGAAAAGTCACCAGTGGAGTGAAAGGAGGAAAACACTGGAGAAGGGGGACCGGGGAAGAAGAGGGCCTGCTGCCTTTGCAGGAAGCAGGAGACTGGGAATTCTCTTTGGGCCATGCCCATGGACTAGGCCCTGTGCTGCGTGGAAGGCGGTGGCCCGGGCGTGGGAGGCCCGGTTCTAGCTGCAACCCGGCCTCTTCCTGCCTGACCCTGGGCCAGTCCTTCCCCCTCACCCCAGCTCAGCTGGCCCTGCCAGAAAATGGGTGGGGCAGATGTGAATTCAAGAAGTCAGTGATCCTGTTCTCAAAACCAAAGTCTCAATAACAGGGGCATTCCCTAAAGCTGGGGGTCCTCAACCACAGGGCAAGCAGGAAACCTGAGCACCCTGTTTTCATACTTGAGACAATGGATATCTGCTGAGTCTTCTAAAAGCTAAAAAATAAGTAACACCAACTACATGCAATTTTGTTTTTTATAGAGACAGCATCTTACTCTGTTGCCCAGGCTGTAGTGCATGGGCGCGATCACAGCTCACTGTAGCCTCGAACTCCTGGGCAGCTCAAGTGATCTTCTACCTCAGCCTCCTGAGTAGCTAGGACTATGGTGGGTGCCACCATACCTAGCGAATTTATTTAATTTGTTTTTTCTGAGAGACAGGGTCTCGCTATGTTGCCTAGGCTGGTCTCAAACTCCTGGTCTTGAGCAATCCTCTAGCTTCAGCTCCCCAAGAAGCTGGGACTACAGGCACATGCTACTGTGCCTGGCTAATTTTTTTATTTTTTGTAGAGATGGGATCTCACTGTTTCCTATGCTGGTCTCAAACTCCTGGCCTCAAGTGATCTTCCTGCCACAGTCTCCCCAAATGCTGGCATTACAGGTGTGAGCCACCCACGCCTGGCCTTAGGCAACCCTTTAAAGCACAAAGCACAAAACACTGGGCCACAGCGGGCAACACACCTCAAATAAAGTTCCTACCCTCTGACACCATTGGTCCCTGTGGGATGGAGAAGTCTTGGGAAAGATAGGGACAGGGAAGGGGGAGCGAGGATGGTGGCAGTAGTGAGAAGTGGCAGCAGAGCAGACAGACCAGTCTGCAGACCTGAGCTCCAACCCAACTCCAGCTCCCCAACTTCTTCAGCAGGTGGCCCCGGGCAAGCTCTTTAACCTTCCTCAGCCTCAGCATTCACATCCCTAAAGGGGGAGCACACCTGCGACCGCCTCACCTCACAGGGCTGGTGCGAGGGCTAAATGCAGCGGTGCAAGAAGAGCACCGAGGACAGTGCCTAGCATGCAGGAAGCACCTGCACATTCTGCAGAAGGGAGCGGGGATGCTTGCTAGCCGCAGGTCATCTGTCTAGTATGAGAGTGGGGCTGTGGGGGAGGGTCGTGCTAGCCCCTTCGGGCTCTTGGGTGCATTAGAATGGCACTAAGGGAGGCTGACAAGGCCAGGCCCCACACTCAGCTAGTTTTGGGCTTTCATCTCTCATTTGATAATCTAGAGGCACCTTCACTTTACTTTTTTTTTTTTTTTTTTGAGATGGAGTTTCACTCTTGTTACCCAGGCTGGAGTGCAATGGCGCAATCTCGGCTCACCGCAACCTCCGCCTCCTGGGTTCAGGCAATTCTCCTGCCTCAGCCTCCTGAGTAGCTGGGATTACTGGCACGTGCCACCATGCCCAGCTAATTTTTTGTATTTTTAGTAGAGACAGGGTTTCACCATGTTGACCAAGATGGTCTCGAACTCTTGACCTCGTGATCCACCTGCCTCAGCCTCCCAAAGTGCTGGGATTACAGGCGTGAGCCACCGTGCCCGGCTCTTTTTTTTTTGAGATGGAGTCTCACTCTGTCGCCCAGGCTGGAGTGCAGTGGCGTGATCTCAGCTCACTGCAACTTCCGCCTCCTGGGTTCAAGTGATCCTCCCGCCTCAGCATCCCGAGTAGCTGGGATTACAGGCATGCACCACCATACACGGCTAATTTTTTGTATTTTTAGTAAAGATAGGGTTTCACTATGCTGGCCAGGATGGTCTTGAAATCCTGACCTCATGATCTGCCTGCCTCGGCATCCCAAAGTGCTAGGATTACAGGCATAAGCCACTGTGCCTCCCTTCACTTTTCAGTAGCCCAGGATATCAGCACTACTGGTTAATGGGTCAGTCAAGGCCCAGGCAAACTGCACTGGGTCTTGTGGTGAGGAAAGTGAAGAGGCGTAGAGTAATAGTCCCATCAACATGTGTTTCTAATGTGAATATTCCAGGATGAAGGGGTTTCCCTACTCCATCTAGCAAAGCCTTAGAGTGGAGAGCACATCCTCCCCAAGGGCTGGGGCAGAGGATGGGACTGGCAGGCCCTGGAGGGAAGGCCCCTACCTTCAGGTGCTCTATCTTCTCCTGCTGGCTCAGGAGGTCCCTGTCAGCAGTGTCGGGGGGCAAAGGAGACTGGTCAGGGGGGTGGGTGAAGTCCTGGGTGACCTTCTCAGAGAGCTTGCAGATGACTTGCTGCTTGGCGTGGTTCTTGTCCATGAGCAGCTGCACGTGCTGCTGCAGCTCCTGCACCTGCTGCTCCCGCAGGCTCGCTGTGTGCGCCAGGCTTTCCCGCTCCTGCTCCAGGGCCTCCACCCGCCAGCCCAGCTCCGCGATCTGCCGAACTTTGTGCCGCACCAGCTCCAGCCGGTCCTTGTCCTCAGCTGCCGCCAGGTATGCACTGGACGCCCTCTTCTCCTGTTGGGCGGCCTCCAGTGCCTTGTGTAGGATCTTCACCAGCTCCTGGGCAGGGACAGGGAAGCATCTTGTGAGCTCAGGGAGGGCCTGCTGGGTGCCAGAGCAGGGCACGTTACCCCTAGTTCTCCTAACAACCCTGAGAAGTGCCCAGCAGCATCCCTGGGGCATCTCATCCTGATGCTCACTTTCTCCGTCTCTGTTCAAGTGAGTGTTAGCTGGGCACATGGTTCCCCAGCTCAAAACTGCATCTCCCAACTACGCCACGGTGAGGTGTAGCCAAGTGACTATTCTGCGTAAATGGGAAATAAAAAGTGAGATGAGCAGCTTCCAGGTGCTACCTTTAAAACCACTAGACACGTGCTCCCTGGTCCAGTTCCCTTTGCTTCTGGCTGGGAAGTGGCAGGAACTAGAGTGGCCAACTCAGACCCACAAGCAGAAGCTACATGTTGAGAGAAAGCTGTCCCCTCAGGTCAGAGTTGCTCACTTACCTCTGGGTTCTTTAATGTGAGAGAGAAATCAACTTCTCACTGGTTTGGGGCCACAGAGCTTTGAATTTTTTTTTTTTTTTTTTTTTTGAGATAGAGTCTCATTCTGTCACCCAGCCTGGAGTGCAGTAACATGAACATGGCTCACTGCAGCCTCAATCTCCTGGGCTCAGCTGATCCTCCCACCTCAGCCTCTTAAGTAGCTGGGACCACAGGAGCATGCCAACACACCAGGCTAATTTTCGTATTTTTTGCAGAGATGGGGTTTTGCCATGTTGCCAGGCTGGTCTCAAATTCCTGGACTCAAATGATCTGCCCGCCTTGGCCTCACAAAGCGCTGGGATTACAGGTGTGAGTCACTGTAAGATCTTTTAGGTTGACCGAAGGTACCATGGATACCATGGTAACCTCTGTGACTTGCACGGACACTCAGGTGAGTTCCTGGAATTAGAAAATCCGAAGTAACTGGAAGACCATGTGTCTAGTGGTTTTAGAAACATGAAAAGGGGAAGAATGGTCAGCCCCACGGTGCCTAACTAACTTGAGACATTCTTCTATTGTTCCTTATTCCTGCCTCAGTTGATAAGGCCATTGGACTTTGTAAATGACCTTGGTCAACCTTGTGACTCCAGAACCTACAACCCCCTCCCAGCTTGCAAAAAAACACCCTAAACTGTAACTTCTGTAACTTTCCACTGCCTACCCAAAACCTATAAAACCAACTCCTATCCCACTGTTCTCCACTGACTCTTTTCAGACTCAGCCCGCCCACACCCAGGTGAATAAACAGCCATGTTGCTCACACAAAGCCTGTTTAGGGAGTCTCTTCATTCAGAGTGCGCATTTTAACAGTCACCACATCCAGTGGAGATGCTTCTGTTACAGCAGCCGAACCCAGACCCTGACATACACATGTCCATCTTAGGGAGGAGCAAACTGAGGCCCAGCAGGGAGTAGAGTGGAATTTAATCTCAGTCAACCAGATTCCAAAGCCTGTGCTTGGTCACCAACAGAACCAGGGGTGGCAGCTATGTGCCATTACTCTTCCCTCTCATCCCTGTGGCAGACATCACTAATCTCTGTAGGAAACAAGAATAAATAAAAGGTTCCTCTTCAAAGCTTTCCTCCTAGTTCACTACAAATAAATGACAGTTTCTTCAAAGGTTAATTTACTTTAAAGCTTTTGTTAATAATCTTAAAGTAGGTGTTGGTCATAACAAAGAAATAAATGCATCCCATGTTCTTAGTTTTTCTTTTTTTGAGACGGAGTTTCACTCTTGTTACCCAGGCTGGAGTGCAATGGTGCAATCTCGGCTCACTGCAACCTCCGCCTCCTGGGTTCAAGCAATTCTCCTGCCTTAGCCTCTCGAGTAGCTGGGGCTATAGGCATGTGCCACCATGCCCAACTAATTTTTTTTTTTGTATTTTTAGTAGAGACGGGTTTCACCATGTTGACCAGGATGGTCTCGATCTCCTGACCTCGTGATGCACCCGCCTCGGCCTCCCAAAGCGCTGGGATTATAGGTGTGAGCCACCGCGCCCAGCCGAATTCTTATACTTTAACCTAAATATTTTGCCCTGACGTGCCTGGACAAGCCCAGCAAGTCTTAGGTCAAAGCTTATTCCCCTTCCTTATTTGAAAATGTTATCACTTCTCTAACCATTCAAGTTACTTCCTCTTTTCCTTTGTTCTCCTCTGCCTTTACCTCTTTAGAAAATGTCCAAATTTTTAGCCAATCAGGTCAAGAGCAGAATGTGAGGTCCAGTCCTGGCCAATGGAAACTGGACATAGCAGTAGGGCGGTTGCATCAGGTTATGAAAGTTACAAATGCCCCCATCTCCCTTGTTCAGGTGTGCTCTTGTGGCAAGACTACCGGTGAGTTGCACCCTTCCTGCAGGAAGTAAACTAGCCTTGCTGAGTGATCCACTGTCTCGGTGTGGATTTTTCCTGACATTATAAACCCGTTGCCAGTAATCTCTCATACTTCTTCCTGCACAGCTTAGTTGAGGCCTCAGAACCCTTCTCAATATAGCATCCAGTCACTACCAATCAAGTTGAGGCAGCGTTAAAAGGAAATATACTGGCAATTCCCATGTAAAGCCACACACAGAGGGCCTCATTCAACCCATTTTTGCCTCATTCCCTTCAGCCCACAGACTGATACATGCAAAGCTGGTGGAAGGAACTCTAGAAAGTTCAGAAACAACAGAGCCTGATTTTATTCCTCAGCAGGGGCAACTGATTCATGTAGGAACTCAAGGTCTGCTCAGCTCCCTGTGCCTTCAAGCCTGTAACTTCCCCAGGGAGGGTCAGGGCCACACCTGGACTCAGGCCTATCCTGCCCCAAAGCAGGGATGTGAGTTCATTCTGGGCCAGGATCAGGACATCAGTAGCCAGGCCCATGTGGACCTCATACCAGGCAGGTCTGACTTTCAGGCCACACTGCCCTGCTTTGTGCTTCTCATTTGGAAAAACATGGTTTCCTAGAGACATGTCAACTATACCACACCAAGGTATTAAAATGAATGGATTGGCTGGATAGGCTTCTTTGCCAAGAACAATTCTATTTTGGAGAAGTGCCAAAAACCATGACTTTTTTGGAGAGGCTAATGACAAGACCACCTTAGCATGCATCTTCTGAAACCTTAGGACTAGTGACTGTCCTTTCTCTGGTTCTCTCTTTTCCTTCCATGCACCCATCCATCCATCCAACCTTTACCAAGCACCACTTGGTGCCAGACCAGGCCCTGAGCCAGGTGCCATAGCCTAAAGAGGGACTGGTGAGAGTTCCCACCTCCAAGGACTGCAAAGGTTTGTGGTGATGAATGTGACTCACCGCAGTGGAATGATCTACTGCAAGAAAGGGGAATGAGGGTGTTTATGGGAAAGGCAATGACTTCTGAGGTGGAGGTTGTGGGGATAGATCAGTACAGAGCATTTAAATGAAACCAAGAAGAATGAGAAAGGCCAGAGATGGTCAAGCAGCAGGTGGGAGATGAGGGTGGGACAGCCCTCTGGATGTGGCCAAGCTGACAGTCTCAGTAAAGAACTGGAAGAAGGAAAGAGCTATCATGGAGCTGTGGGAGCCCTGGGGTGTGGCAGGAAGGTGAGGTGAGGACAGGGCAGTGATTGCAAACCAAAAGGGAATGTCTGGAATGTTCAGCTTCTCAGGGCTCAGTTGAGAGAGATTAACATTCCTGTGGTTCTGGGATAACTGGGAGTCTAGACCATTTTCTGCTTTAGCTGAGATTTGGAGATTACCTTGGATAACTCCCCAGTGAAATAACTAACAAACATTGTTGTTCAGACTTGCCCTAGGAGCAGAACCAGGTGGGTATCTTTCCCTCAACTTTGGGGAGTTGACTCTAAACTCATTTCATTACATCTAGCTGTCTCCTTCTTCCCACATTTGGCTCCCAGAATCCAAGACCAAGATACCAGCTCAGAAGGCTCTCCTTCCACCCCCAGAATTCTTGTACCAGAATAAAACAGGCTTGAAAGAAAGGAACCATGGCAGAGGCAGGGACCCTCAGTAGGACCTGTAAGATGAGGAGTGAGAATAGATCATGGATTCAGGAAACCTGAAGTCTGGATTATAAGCAATGTCTTAGGACCAATTCTTAAAAATAGAAAAGTTGATGAAATGAAGCTTTCTTTTTTTCCTTTTTTTTTTTTTTAGACAGGATCTCATTCTGTTGCCTAGGCTGGAGTGCAGTGGCACAATCACGGCCCACTGAAACCTCAACCTCCTGGGCTCAAGTGACCCTCTTGCCTCAGTCTCCCTTGAGGCTGGGACTATAGGCATGCACTGCAATGCCCAGCTAATTATTTTATTTTCTGTAGAGACAGAGTCTCTCTATGTTGTTCAGGGTGGTCTTGAACTCCTGGGCTCAAGAGATCCTCCCACCTCAACCTCCCAACGTGTTGGCATGAGCCACCATGCCTGGCCCAAGGGGTACTTTTAATGTTTCTCAATCGAGTTGTTTTGTTTATCTCAGATTTTGATACTTGGTCATAAGTTGTCATTTTATTTCAAATTTTAAAAGCCAATAAATCATCTTTTAAAAAAATAATCCTTTATCTTTTTAAGAATTCTACTTTCATCAGTGGTGAGCCCTAAAGGGATCAGATGAAGGGGCATGGGCTTTGGAGTTGCACAGGCCTCGTCTCCCATTCTGGATCCCTGGGGGCGTATCTAACGAAGTGACTCTAAGGAGGGTGGCTCAGGTGGCCTCTTCACTGAACCTCAGCTTTCTCATGAATGGAGCTAAAGCTTCCTCCTCCGCTCAGAACTGCCTCTAGCATGAGACAGAAAGTGCCAAGTGGCCCTCCCCAAGCTGACATGCCCAAGGTACCTCCCAGCTCTCTTTCACGTTCTCTGAAGTCTTTGGTTGGACTTCTAGGAAAGAGGCCACACATTGCCCCCACCAAGTTTCCCAAAAAAATTACGTTCCTTTACCCAGTAATCCTGATTGAACTAAGGTGGCCCCAGAGGGCCACAGGCAGGGTCCCAGAGGAGTTCATCATTCCCAGCAGCCAACAGATGGCCAACATCACCACAGACAGCAGCCTTCCACCTGCCAGCGCAGACAGTCTTCAGGCTAGGTGGAGTTCTGTCAACTCCGAGGGTCAGTTCCTGGCCAAGCAGCCATATGGTGCTACCTCCTGGAGCCCAAACCTCTTGTGAGGCCAGTGCTGCAGGAGCAGGGATAGATAATGGCTTACTGGGTATCAGAGTCGCCCGTGGTTTAATATGACACTGGGGATACACAGGGAGTGTATGCATTTTTTTCTCAGGAGCAGTTTTGGTGTTTGTGTCTCACACCTGGCCTCACCGTGAGATTATGGAGGAGAGGAGGCAGCCCAGCCTCAAGACCTGGAGAAGGAGATCAGGGTCCCAATCCTGGCCTTTCCAGCTGCATGCGCATGGGCAAGTCACCCACCTCCTCTGAGCTCCTCTAATGCTGGCTCAGCCCCTGGGAGATCCTGAGCATGCAGACACTCTGAGAACCTCAGTTTCCTTTTCAGAGGAAGGGGATGACAGCTATTGTAAGGACAGCAATGAGACACGGGAAGCCTCAGTACAGTCCTGGGGCCACACTGAATACCAGCAGCTCCCATGCTCACATCTTCTCTTCCTCACCAGATGGTGAGGGACCCAAGGGCAGAGATTTGGCCCCAGTATGCTCTCAGGAGCATCACACAGTGTTTGAGATAGAAATTCTTAAAGAGTCACTAAAGCCATTGGCAATGGCCAGGTGAGCCAGGATAGGACCCCAAATTCCCATGTCCTCCTGAAGCTTGAGGTAGACAGGAGGTGCCTTCCCACTAAAGAAACACAGGAAGGTACCTTGCACATGTGGTCCCTGGGAGTCCAGGTGCCCATCTTCCCAGCTGATGAATGGGACTGTAAGGAGGGTCTCAGAAGGACAGCGGCTCTCCCAACGGTATTCTGAGTACTTGGGGTGGGGGTAGGGGGATGGGCACCATTGGACACCCAGAAGTTGTGCTGGCTTTTTTTTTTTTTTTTTGAGAGTGTTGCTCTGTTGCCAGGCTGGAGTGCAATGGCATAATCTCAGCTCACTGTAATCTTCACCTCCCAGGTTCAAGCGATTTTCCTGCCTCAGCCACCCCGAGTAGCTGGGACTACAGGCACATACCACCATGCCTGGCTAAATTTTGTATTTTTAGTAGAGACAGGGTTTCACCATGTTGGCCAGGATGGTCTCAATCTCCTGACCTCATGATCCGCCTGCCTTGGCCTCCCAAAGTGCTGGGATTACAGGTGTGAGCCACTGCACCTGGCCTGTGCTGGCTTTTTCTGTCTCACCTCTTTGGTTTTAGTATCTAGGTTACAAGTGAAACACTAGAGTAAGGGGGCTGCAGTTGTTCCCTTCCTAACGTGAAATAAAGACTTAAGCTCCCCATCACTGCTATGGCCCGTGGTACATTTCCTGGAGTCACTCATGGGCTGTCACTTCCCACCTCATCTCAGACTCCCTCAGTAGGGGGCGCCTCACTGCTTGTAGGGCAGGAAGAGATTGAAATGGAGGGTGAGGGGTGCAGCAGTAATTGCCGGAACAACCAGAGCCTGCATCTCTTGGGCAGCTGCTGGGTGCCAAGTACTGGGCTTTATGAATCTGGGCACGGGCCTCTCCAGTAAACATGGCTGTAACTCCATTTACGAAGATGAAACTGAGGCTTAGAGAGGTTAAGAAACTTGCTTAGGGGCTGGGCGCAATAGCTCATGCCTTTAATCCCAGCACTTTAGGAGACCGAAGCGGGCGGATCACCCGAGGCCAGGAGTTCAAGACCAACCTGGCTAATATGGTGAAACGTTGTCTCTACTAAAAATACAAAAATTAGCTGGGCATGGTGGTGCATGCCTCGGATCCCAGCTACTTGGGAGGCTGAGGCAGGAGAATCGCTTGAACCCGGGAGGTGGAAGTTGCAGTGAGCCAAGATTGTGGCACTGCACTCCAGCCTAGGGTACAAGAGTGAGACTTTGTCTAAAAAAAAAAAAAAAAAAAGAAAAGAAACTTGTTTAGGGTCAGAATTTGAGTCTGTGCTGGCTTATTTAAAGGCCTGTGCTTTGAATTGCCCTGAAGACTGTAGTGCATTTGTAGAATGGGTTGGAGAGAGCACACAAATCCACTCATATTGCACAATGAATAAATGAACTAAATAAACCACAACTCATTCTCCTTTTGACTGTCTGTCCCAGGACACAAAGTTGAGGTTTGGTGGAAGGTTACCTGGTTAAAAAAAAAAAAAATACAGATTCTTCAATGCTTCGACAGCTTCCTCCTGACATTTTCCCTCTGAATATATGGGAATTGTCAATAGCCTGGGTAACCCTTATCAATCTCCAAGAGTCTTGCCTTCATTTATTGAAGAATGATGAGTCTTCCAGAGATGCAGAGCAATCAGGGGCAAACCTTCATGAAATCTAGGCCTTTCTACTTCATCTGACAATTTGCAATGTCTTAGAAAGAGAGGCAGTGTCAAGGGAGGCTGCCCATATATTCAGGATTTCTTTTTTTTCCCCAGGTTTGGGTTTGGGATTTAAGCTATAGTATTCCAGGGATCAAGTGGCTGCTATGGCTCAGTTTCATGCCCTCTCAGCTCTCAGGGGCGTCCAGCAGCCTCACAACAGGAGCGCCATGATGACAGGAGGAAAGGACAGCCAGGCTGCTGAGCATCAGCAGAGGGGACTTCACGTGCTATAAGTACACATTTGGGTGTTGCCTTGTTTAATGTCTGTCTCTGCCATGAAATGCAACCCCTATAAGGGCAGAGCCTATATCTTTTGCTCACTGTTCTTTCCCAGCACCTGGAACACTACATGCGCATAACAGGCCCTTAATAAAGATTTGGTGAATAAACACATGAATTAAGAACATATGAATGAATGAGCCCCTTCCTTTGAGAATGTGTGGTGACTCACGCCTGTAATCCCAGCACTTTGGGAGGCAGAGGCAGGCAGATCACTTGAGGTCAGAAGTTCGAAAAGGCCTTGTCAACATGGCGAAACCTAGTCTCTAATAAAAATAAAAAATAAAAAAAAAATTAGCCAGGCGTGGTGGTGAGCACCTGTAATCCCAGCTACTCGGGAGGCCAAGGCAGGAGAATCACTTAAACCCAGGAGGCAGAGGTTGCAGTGAGCCAAGATTGCGCCGTTGCACTCCAGCCTGGGCAACAAGAGCAAGACTCCACCTCCAACTCCAAAAAAAAAAAAGTAACTCCTGATATGCCAGGAATGAAGCCTCTGCCGGTTTCTCTGCGATCTGCTGACAGTGGTCACTGCTTAGGGGCAGAAAAGACAGATGAAGGGCAAAACTAGGTATAGGGAGAGCATTTTTTTCTGCATTTCTTCCCCCCTGCAAAACAGGGTGGAAAAGAAAAGAAGAAATGTACAAGTTGTAAGAAATATTCATAAGGTAATAGAGCATAAGCCCCACCTCCCCAGCCTAAGCCCTCTGGAGCCAGGGCTGGGAAACAGCAGAAAGGGCCTCCCGAAGCCAAAGTTCAAACACAAAAGCTTAGGCCTTCCTCTTGAGGAAAAGGAGTTTGGGCCGTCAGTGGAGCCCGCCAGCGCCACCGCAGGCCCTATCAGGCCCCACCCTTGGGATTTATGTAACAGCTGCCTAACTTAGTTGCTTTTATCGCTCTAAAGAGGGGCTCTGGCCCAGAGTTGCAGCTCCCTTGCATCCCTACCTTGGGATCCTCAAGGTAGCCCCTGGCTTTTCATACCATTTCTCTCTGGAATATCGAATTGTGGAGTAATTTTAATGTCTGTCTGTGTGAGATCTGTTTTCTACAATGACTATATAGTTCCTCTTTTTTGTAACTCTTATAATTAACTTTTTACCATATTAAACCCAGATTCCTCCCTGTCACTGTTCTGTGTTGATCCTGGCTTAGCCCTGGGCGACACACACGCTGCTTACTTGCTTTCTCCTGTGACAGTCTTGTGACAGTCATTCAGACATCTGTGCCCAGCTATCAGCTGCCAAGTCAATGACAGCCCCTCCTGTGACCCTGCATCCTGATCACCTGCCTCCAAATACTGTCATTCTCCGGGTTGGGGGTGAGACCATGCATGGCCCCCAGGAGGGGTCTAAGAGACAATTATTAGAGTAGATCTCCAGAGATATCTGGCCTTGGTGCCCTTTTGTGACTTGCTTTGAGTGACATCAGCTTCCTATATAATCAATAGTGCATTTCCACCTTCTGCAGTTCGGCCTTTAAAGACCAGAGAGTGGCTGGTGCCCTGCCGGGCTAAGGCAACCCATCTAGCTTGCCTGAAAGGCTCCAGGAACGGGAGGGGTCCACTGGAACCTGGGGCCTCCCTGGGACCAGACCTCACCTTCTGAGACTTTAACTCCTTGGTGAGCATCAGAACCTGTTGCTCCAAGGCTACCACTTTCTCCTGGGCAGTTCGGTTCCGTGTGATTCCTTCAGAGAAGAATGGGAAGGTGTTGCTCGGGCGCTTGGCTTTCTGAACGAAACTGATGGCCAGAGAGGACTTGAGTGCAAGCTTTGGAGAATCTGCTGGCTCTCTCCCTGCTCAAGACAAGAAACACACAAGTTATGACTGATGGCATCAACGTTCTCAAACTTGAGCTTGCTTCAGAAGCACCTGGAGGGCTTGTTAAAATGTAGATGGTTGGGCCCTAATTGGAGCTCTGGATTTGATAGGTTTGGGTCAGGGCTTGAGAATTTGCACTTCTAAAAAGTTCCTAGGTGATGCTGACACAGTCCAGGGATTGGACTTTGGGAACCACTGGCCTACATAAACATTATTGCACCATGCTGGCCTAGTTACTTAGCCCATCTGCTAACCTGTGCCTGTCTTCTTCCTTCAGATCCCAGCCTGCATGGGTCTGTCTCATGCCACCCTGCTGGTGTTTGCCAAGTGGCTTTCTCCTCGGGCACAAGCCCTGGAAGGATGTTTTGTTCCTTATTTCAGGATTCCACCTCTATGTGCTGGGACATTTTCAAAGCACACAAATCTGTCTGATGATAGGAACACAGAATGAATGTCTGTTCTCTGCACTCTTTGTTGGTGATGGTGGTGGTTTGTTTTTTGAGACAGAGTCTTGCTTTGTCACCCAGGCTGGAGTGCAGTGACACGATCTCAGCTCACTGCAACCTCCACCTCCCGGGTTCAAGTAATTCTCCTGCCTCAGCCTCCTGAGTAGCTGGGATTATAGGCACATACCACCACACCCAGCTAATTTTTTTTGTATTTTTAGAAGAGATGAGGTTTCACCATATTGGCCAGGTTGGTCTTGAACTCCTGACCTTGTGATCTGCCTGCCTTGGCCTCCCAAAGTGCTGTGATTACAGGCATGAGTCACCACGCCTGGCCTGTTCTCTGCATTCTTGCTCCAGAGAACAGCTCAAGAGCTTAACTTGATTCTTCTTATTCCAAACTAAGTTAAGAGACATATTTCCCACAGTTGATTGTCTCAAGTTGCATAGTCGTTTTATCTCCTGGGTTATAACTTATGGTTCACAGGCCAAATCCAGCCCACAGCCTGCTTTTATAAAGAAAGATTTATTAGAACATGGTCATGGCCATTTGTTTATGTGCTGTCAATTGCTGCTTTTACTCCTCAAAGACAGAACTGAGTGCCTAAAACAGAGACCCTATGGCCCACAAAGCCTCGAATAGTTACTATCTGGCTCTTTACAAAAAATGTTTGCCAGCCACTGTTTTCAAGTCATTAAAATTTTATTCTTAAATCAAAGCCAACATCAGAGAATCACTCCCCTGGGTTGCCTTGTCCCGCCCTGACCCAGCTGTGCTTCTGGTCTCGGCCATCATCCTGCATGAAGGGACATTTAATGACCTATGTAGCCAACAGCCCTTGAGAAGCTTGTTCACATGGGATATACACATCATGTCTGCCATGAGTCCCCAGCAGAAGAAATTCCCTTCAGCCCTAGGAACTTCCAAGAAAAGCTTTGCTTCTTCTAAAAAAATAGGTTGTTAGTCTTATGGATACTGGAAATAATCTAGCCGCTTGCATTTCCCACTTTGCTTTGGCTTCTGAGCTTAGAGCCATATTTACTGCCTACCCTCAGATATTCTGTAGGATCTTAAATTGATCTTATCTAAATCTCTTAACCCAAATTACTCATTTGAGTGACTATGCATTTTAGTAAGCTATTACCTATCTTTTTGGGACTAAGGTGTTGAAAATAGGATGTGGTATGGGATCCCAGGATAGGGGGCAGGGCCTTGGGTGGGCCAAATGACTTAGCATGAGACCAGACCAAACAGTCTTGAACAGACAAAGAATTACTCCAGTAGGTGACAGTAACCAGACACTGAGTGCAAAAACAGCGCCTAGTTCGGCCTGGCATGGTGGCTCATGTCTGTAATCCTAGCACTTTGGGAGGCTGAGGTGGGTGGATCACTTGAAGTCAGGAGTTTAAGACCAGCCTGGCCAACATGGTGAAACCCCGTCTCTATTAAAAATACAAAAGTTAGCCAGAAATTGCTTGAACCTGGGAGGCAGAGGTTGCAGGGAGCTGAGATCGTGCCACTGCACTACAGCCTGGGCAACAGAGGAGACTCTGACTCAAAATAAATAAACAAATAAACAAACAGTGCCTTGCTGAGTGCAAAACCAGAACAGTCTTGTTCCAGACCAAAGAGAAATCAGGTTACACTGGGTACCAGGCAGCCTGCAGAGCTCAGAGGGATGTAGGGCCTCTTTCCCCTACCTGTTATGGGGCCTAGGCAAGCAGGGAAGCTCCCTGCAGCACTGCTGCTCTCTGATACACTACTGTGCACCAACTCTGAGGACAGGCAGGGCAGGCATCACAGTGCCCAGTTTATAATTGGAGAAGACAAGGCCTAAGACAGTGGTGTTCAATCAGTGTCCTGGATTTCATGGGAGTGCCTCAAGGGCTGACTGGGACGGGAAGGTGGAGTAAGAGGAGCAGTGGAGGAGTCCAGACTCCCACTCCAGCCTCAACTCTGCTTTTATCTGCTCTTTATATTAGATTTTGTTTTGGGGGACAAGGTTTCATGGCAATAAAGACACAGTCTGAAAAACCACTGACAGAAAATGAGGCCTCAGCAGCAGTATGGAGCCAGACTGCTTGGCCTGAATGCTGGTTCCGTCATTCACTCTACAGCCATGAGCAAGTCCCTCTACCCTTCCATGCCTCAGTTTCCTTATTTATTGAATGAGGATAACAACAATATATGCAGCTCCAGTTGCTGTAAGGATTATAGGTCAATATAGGTAAAGTGCTTGGTACATATGGATGAAATTTGAAAAGATTCTGCCAAGTCAAAGAAGCCAGTCACAGCATGGTGTATTCCATGGTATATTCCACTCACAGCAGATGTCAGAACAGATATATCCATAGAGAAAGAAAGAGTAGTAGCCACCTAGCGTTATGGGGCAGTGGGGATTAAAGGTTGATGACTAAGGGTACAGGTTTCCTTTTGGGGTAATAAAAATGTTCTAAAATTGAGTGATGGCTGCATAATTCTGTGTATATACAGAAAGCCACTGAATTATACATTTTAAATGGGTGAATTGTATAGTATATGAATTATATCTTAATAAAGTTATTACAAAAAAAAATGCTTACTGAAGAACCAGCACAAAGTAACTGCTAGTGTTATTATGATGATGATTGATCCGATATAGCACTGGCCTTCTCTTGGACCGTTCATTGTGCTTTCTGGGGCTATGCCAGGCACTGACTGCTTCAAAGGGTACTTTTTCTTTCTTTCTTTCTTTTTTTTTTTGAGACAGCGTCTCACTCTGTCACCCAGGCATGATCATAGCTCACTGCAGCCTCGACCTCCCTGACTCAAGTCATCCTTCCACCTGAGCACCCCAAGTAGCTGGGACTAAAGGCTCGCACCATGATCAGCTAATTTTTTATACTTTTTTGGAAAGACAGGGTCTCCCTATGTTGCCCAGGCTGGACTTGAACTCCCAGGCTCAAGCAATCCTCCAGCCTTGGCCTCCCAAAGTGTTGGGATTATAAGTGTGAGCCACCATGCCTAGCCTTTTCTTAACTTTTTTTTTTGAGATGGAGTTTTGCTCTGTGGCCCAGCCTGGAGTGCGCTGGCGTGATCTCAGCTCATTGCAACCTCTGCCTCCCGGGTTCAAACAATTCTCCTGCCTCAGCCTCCCAAGTAGCTGGGATTTCAGGCATGTACCACCATGCCCAACTAATTTTTGTATTTTCAGTAGAGATGGGGTTTCACCGTCTTGGCCAGGCTGGTCTCAAACTCCTGACCTCAGGTGATCCACCCGCCTCGGCCTCCCAAAGTGCTTATAGGCACGAGCCACCATGCCCAGCCTTCTTAACTGTTTTCTCCGAAAAAATTATAGACTCACAGAAAGTTGCAAAGATAGTGTAGACATGTCCCAAGTACTCTTCACCAAGCTTCTCCCAATGGTGGCATCTTACACAGCTGTAGTACCGTATCAATTCTAGGAAACTGGTGTTGGTACAACATGTATGTGTAGGTCTATGTCATTTTATCACATGTGTACATTTGTTTTTGGTTTTGTTTGAGACAGAGTCTCACTCTGTTGCCCAGGGTGGAGTGCTGTGATGCAATCTCAACTCACTGCAACGTCCACTTCCCAGGTTCAAGTGATTGTCCTGCCTCAGCCTCCTGAGTAGCTGGGATTATAGGCACCAGCCACCAGGCCCAGCTAACTTTTGTATTTTTAGTAGAGATGGAGTTTCACCATGTTGACCAGGGTGGTCTCGAACTTCTGGGCCTCAAGTGATCCACCTGCCTCGGCCTCCCAAAATGCTGGGATTACAGGTGTGAGCCACCACACCCAGTCACATGTGTACATTTGTAAAAGTACCACCATTTAATAGCTCAAGATACAGAACTATTCTATCACTCAAAGATATCCCTCTTCATAGGTAGATCATAACCCTCCAGCATCCATAACCCCTAAAAACCATTAATTTGTTCTGTCTCTACGATTTTGTTATTTTAAGAATGTCATATAAATGAACTTGTACAGCACATAAACTTTTAAGATTGGCTATTTTCACTCAGCATAATTCCCTTGTGTTTTAGGATCTTTTAGGGTTTTATGTAATAAGTTGAAATCTTTGAAGGCCCATTTCAAAGTACACTGGGCCATATTAACTATTTTAACCGGGGCTTCATAGAGTCTCATTTTAATAAGCCAATTTGTAAGTGCAAACACCTACTTTAATTTTAACTTATTTATTGTGTCAGAGCATCTATGTCTATCACAGACTATTTGTAGCAATGGGCATATCACTATAGGAAATTTAGACAAGTGAACAGTTAAAGTGAAATTTTATTTATTTATTTATTTTTAGGCAGAGTCACACTTTGTTATCCAGGCTGGAGTACAGTGGCACAATCTTGGCTCACTGCAACATCTGCCTCCCCAGTTCAAGCGATTCTTGTGCCTCAGCCTCCTGATTAGCTGGAATCACAGGTGCATGCCACCGTGCCCGGCTAATTTTTGTAGTTTTAGTAGAGACAGGATTTTGCCATGTTTGCCAGGCTGGTCTGAAACTCCTGTCCTCAAGTGATCTACCTGTGTGGGTTTCCCAAAGTGCTGGGATTACAGGCGTAGGCCACCACACCCAGCCTAAAGTGAAATTTTAAAATAAATTTTTTATTTAGTTTCTGCCTCAAGATTATAAGAGCAGAGTGTTTAGATTAATGAGATCTCCAGGAATAACTATAATTGGAGCCCAAATACAGGTTAAGTCTATGAATTTTTGTCAATTTGTGCATTTTAGCAAATGTTAAATTAGAATCTATGACAGAGAGGCAAAGAAGCCAAGCAGTGCCCTTTTTATCTTTTATTTTTAATACATTCTTTTTTTAAAACAATTTTAGATTCAGGGGGTACATATGCAGGTTTATTACATGAGTACATGGCATAATATTGGGGTTTGGGCTTCTATTGAACCCATCACCCAAATAGTGAACATAGTACCCTATAGATAGTTTTTCAACCCTTACAAAGGCCACTTTTTCTTGAGTCACTTCTACACAGCCCAGGGGTTCTCTCTGCCAGAAGAACCAACCATGAAACCTTAACCTAAAGGTCGTTTGCTCCACGTCTTCAGGCAGATGTGGTTTTAATCACTCCAAAAAGGCATTTTTATAAGCAGCAAAGAAAGGAAGACACAAGAGCAATATCTTCCTTTGCTACCTCAAGAATCATTACTAAGCATTTCAGTTGGGGAAGATGAAAAAGTTCTGGACATGGATGGCAGTGTTAATGTGCTTAATGAAATTGAACTATACGCCTAAAATGGTAAATTTTATGTTATGCATATTTTACCACACACACACAAAAAAAATCATAGCTCCTAGACCTCTGCAAACACAGAAGCGACCTGGAGAGCTGTATCTTTGGCATACTGCTGGGGACTGAATGTGTTCCCCTAAATTCATATGTGGAGGCGCTAATCCCCAGCATGATGCTGTTAAGAGGTGAGGCCCTTGGGAGGTGATCAGGTTTAATGTCTTGAGGGTGGAGACCCTGATGAGATCAGTGCCCTTAGAAGCAGCAGCACAGGCCAGAGGTCTTTCAGCCATGTGAGCACACAGCAAGAAGTCGGTCACATGCAAGCCAGGAAGGGGGCCCTCACGGGACACTGAATCTGCCGGCACCTTGATCTTGAACCTCCCAGCCTTGACACAACTGTGAGAAATAAACATCTGTTATTTAAGCTGCACAGCCCATGGTGTTTTGGTATAACAGCCCAAGCCGACTAAGACACACACAATTGCGCAAATGCTGGTTCGCTGGAAGGAAAGAAGGCACTTGTGCCAGCCCTGAGGAGCTAACCCCTAAAGGCAGCTCAGCGCTGGTCAAAGGCTCACCTGGGGTGCTGGGGTCATGGGCTGAGGAGGGCTCCTCCCTCTGAGGCTCCCTACTCTGTGGAGAATCTTCCTCTGGAGGTTCATGGCCTGTTCCCTGAGTCTGCTTGTTGCCACGGATGTTGTGCATTGTGTTTCTGAAAGTAGATGGGAACAGAGGAGCATGAGGCTGAGCCCTGCCTTTCTGCCCGTCTACCCTTCCCACCACCACTGCTAGTGCTCAGGCCTCATCCCCACACCCTGCTATCCCGACTAGTCTCCCAGGTTCCAAGTACACTGTATGATGCATCCCCACGCACGACACTCCCAATTTCTTTTACCCATCTCCTTTGCATTCTCACCTTCCACACACTATATGGCTTACAAGTATTACAAGCTTGACTTCCTTAATACCCACCCCTGCAGCTGGAGTATAAATGCCATGAGGCAGAGGTATTGTCTGTTCTGTTCACTGATGCACCTAGAATGCCTAAACAGTGCCCAAAATATAGAAGGTGCTTCATGCAGGTGTGTTGAATGAAAGCTGAATGGACTTGCTAAACTATCTTTCCCAAAACCTTCATCTGGTTTCATAACTATCTGGCTCAAAACTATCAGTGGCTCCCTACTTCTGCTGAGATAAGCTGCAAACACCTCCTGGCATCTTTCCCTGCTTGCTCTCTTTCCCTGCTGAGATCTGTCTTCTATGCAGCCTTCACTGACCATCTCATGGCCTCCAAGGAGCTTAGTGCACTTCACAGCTGGGTCACCCTTTGGGCAAGTACTTGTCTAGGCTGAAGTCTCATGATGTCATTTCTTTAAGAACTGGATACTAACCTACCTGCATGTTTGCTGGCACCCAACACTGGGTTGTATGTGCCAAAGACTTGGCTCAATACATGTTTGGTTTATAGGAAGGAACTAGGTAGTACCAAAGGCTAACCTAAGATCACAGACTACAGAGAAGTTCATAATGAGCTGGATGAAAAAACAGTTCAGGCCGGGAGTATTTGCTTGTGCCTGTTATCCCAGCACTTTGGGAAGCCAAGGCGGGTGAATCACAAAGTCAGGAGTTCGAGACTAGCCGGCCAACATGGTGAAACCCCATCTTTACTTAAAAAAAACAGGCCAGGCGCAGTGGCTCACGCCTGTAATCCCAGCACTTTGGGAGGCCGAGGCGGGTAGATCACGAGGTCAAGAGATCGAGACCATCCTGGTCAACACGGTGAAACCCCGTCTCTACTAAAATATAAAAATTAGCTGGGCATGGTGGCACGTGCCTGTAATCCCAGCTATTCGGGAGGCTGAGGCAGGAGAATTGCCTGAATCCAGAAGGCGGAGGTTGCCGTGAGCCGAGATCGCGCCATTGCACTCCAGCCAGGGTAACAATAGCGAAACTCCATCTCAAAACAAAACAAAACAAAAACAAAAAACAAAAAAATTAGCTGGGTGTGGTGGCAGGCGCCTGTAATCCCAGCTACTCAGGAGGCTGAGGCAGGAGAATCGCTTAAACCTGGGAGGCAGAGGTTGCAGTGAGCTGAGACCATGCCAATGCACTCCAGCCTGGGTGACAGTCAAAGACTCCATCTCAAAAAAACAAAACAAAACAAAAAACACTTCGAGGAGTTTATTTTCCCTTACAAAGAGATAAGATTAATAACAAGGAAAGGAAAATGATGAAAGAAATTCCCTAGGTCAGTGTATTTCACACTGAAGATTCCAATTCATTGGTAGGTTGTAAAATCAGTTTAGTGTCATGAGCAGCATTTAAAAAATGAAATAGAAACGATCAGCGCTGTTGCCACCTGCCTATGTCCACCTGTGCTGCACCAGGGTCCCAAAGAGCTATTGGGGGTCCAGGCCAAGGCTGGCTCATGTGGAAGTCATCTTTGCCTCTGCTTGCCTGCCCTCTCATCCATCTTCCCATCTATCCTGTCTCTCAGTGACCAGCATGCTGGCACTCAACTCCTGCCTTCTGTACTGGTTCTGTCTGCTCTTTTGGAAGCAGGAGACAGAATTGACACTTGTGGGGCTGCAGGACTTGGGCAAGACCACTTTCATATATATCACTGCATCAAGTCAATTTAGTGAAAACATGATACCCACAGTGAACTTCGACACAAGGAAAGTAACTAAAGGTAACATGACAGTAAAGATCTGGGATATAGGAGGACAACCCCAGTTTCGGAGCATGTAGGAACTGTATTGCAGAGGAGTCAGTGCTACTGTTTACATATCAGATGCTGCAGATCGTGAAAAGATAGAGGGCTCTAGAAATGAGCTACCTAATCTAGATAAACCACAGTTACAAGGAATTCCACGGCTAGTACTTGGAAATGAGAGAGAGAGAGATCTTCCTAATGCCTTGGATGAGAAACAGCTAATTTAAAAAATGAACGTCTGCTATTCAGGATAAAGAAATGTGCTACTATTCAATTTTTTGCAAAGAAAATGATAATATAGGTATCACACTTCGTGACTTATTCGACATTCAAAATCTAGAAGCTGAAGCGTCTCCTGAAGTCTTCCGGTCCTTCTTGACTATAATCCTAGAATTATTGTCTGTCTCTCTAATGTATTTCCCAAAATACAGTCCTTTCTAACCCCAAGAAATTGTCAGGATCAGACTAAAACATTTAGCAATCAACAGCAATAATGCAAAAAAAAAAAAAAAAAAGTCTACATTAAAACTCTTTGTTGGAATGCTTTACACTTTCCAAAGAAAAGGAACTAAAATAACCTGTTATACAATTAGTCACAAATATGGTCCTCAAGTTTTTTGCCCATATACATGAGCATTTGTCTAAATCGTGTCTTCTTTATAGTAGCTACGCCCTGCCTCCACTGTGCTTGGCTGAGTTCACAAATCTGTTGTAACCTGTAACTTCCCTGTCACTTCTCTGGCTCTCCTCTCCTGCTAAGCTTTGTTTCCTAATTAAAATCTTCTGCCACTGCCATAGCTACTGCTGCTACTGGAACCGCCATAGCCATCTTGGTTTCATGGTCTGGCAAACTACTGGCCTCCACCACCATAGGTGCCAGAGCTTCTGCCTCCAAAGTATCCCCCCTTCATGGGTCCAAAATTTGAAGACTGATTGTTGTAACTGTCAAAATCATTATAGCTTCTACCACCTCCAAAAGTGCTTCCATTACCACTGCCAAAGCCAGCTCTGCCTCCGTTGTGACAGCTGTCATAGCTGCCACTCCCACCATAAGCACTGCACTGGTTTCTATAACCCTGTCCACCACTTCCATAGCCTCTGCTGCCTCCAGAGTAACCAGGGCTGCCTCCTCCATAACCACCATCATTACTAAATCCATTATAGCCATGCCCACTGCCACCATATCCACTACCACCACGGCTGCCACCAAAGCTGCCATGACCACTGAAGTTTCCTCCGCGATCAAGTTGTCATTCCCACCAAAACTACTTCCATGACCACCACCAAAGTTTCCAGAGCCACTTCGACCTCTTTGGCTGGATGAAGCACTCGCCATCTCTTGCTTTGACAAGGCTTTCCTAACTTCACAGCTGTGGCCATTCACAGTACAGTATTTCTGAATGACAATCTTTCCACAGAGTCATGGTCGTCCAAGGTTACAAAGGCAAGGCCCCTTTTCTTGCCACTGCCTCGGTCAGTCATGATTTCAATCACTTCAATTTTTCCATACTGTTCAAAATAATCTCTTAGGTGATGTTCTTCAGTGACTTCTTTAATGCCACCAACAAATATCTTTTTCACAGTTAAGTGGACACCTGGTGTTTGAGAATCTTCTCGAGATAGCTCTCTTTGGTTCCACAACTCTTCCATCTACCATGTGTGGCCTTGCATTCATGGCTGCATCCACCTCCTCCACAGTGGCATATATGATAAGCCCAAAGTCCTTGGAGTGCTTGGCATTTGGATCTCTCATGACCACACAGTCCGTGAGCGTTCCCCATTGCTCAGAATGGCTCCTCAGGCTCTCATCGGTTGTTTCAAAGCTCAACTCTCCAATGAAGAGCTTCCTCAGCTGTTCGAGCTCTTTAGGAGACTCTGACTTAGACATGACAGCAGGGAGAAGACAGACTTTAATAATGTTTCTTCGGTGGTATCCATGGGCAGAAAGGCTTTATCACCAAATAGCATTGGGGATATGGGAGGAACTAAAGCATGCTTTGTATCTGTGTAGATCATTATTTCCATCTTTTTTCCCCCTCATTCAACATACTTTTTATAGGCTTGGGAAATGATAATTTCCCAAAAGCGTTTAAAGCATGCCAGTCAATACGTGCTTATATGTGTGTGTGTATAAAACCTATCAAGAATGTCAGACTTTGGCCAGGTGCAGTGGCTCACGCCTGTAATCTCAGCACCTTGGGAGGGTAAGACATGCAGATTATTTGAGGCCAGGAGCTTGAGACCAGCCTGGTCAACATAGTGAGACTCCATCTCTACTAAAAATATAAAAGTTAGCCAGGCGCGGTGGCTCATGCCTGTAATCCCAGCTTCTTGGGAGACTGAGGCACGAGAGTTGCTAATGTCACTTGCACCGGGGAGGCAGAGGTTGCAGTGAGCAGAGGTCACACCACTGCACTCTAGCCTGGGCAACAGAGCAAGACTCTGTCTCAAAAAAATAATGTCAGGTTTGCTTTAATAGAGTGTACTCCACTTAGTGAGCATTAGTACTTTGTGAAAAACAGTGAGCTATGACAGAAAAATACATGTTTTTACTGTGGTTGTGGATAACAGTTTGAAAAACACTCTACCAGGAGGGCATTTACTTAAATGGAAGCTATTATGTGGTCAAAAAAGAGGAGGTCACAGCCAGGTGTGGTGACTCATGCCCATAATCCCAGCACCTTGGGAGGCTGAGGCGGGTAGATCATTAGAGTTCCAGAGTTTGAGGCCAGCCTGACCAACATGGTAAAAACCCTTCTCTACTAAAAATACAAAAAAATTACCTGGGTGGGGTGGCATGTACCTGTCATCTCAGCTACCTGGGAGGCTGAGGCAGGACAATCACTTGAACTTGGGAGGCAGAGATTGCAGTGAGCCGAGATCATGCCACTGCACTCCAGCCTGGATAACAGAGCAAGACTCCCCTCCAAAAAAAAAAAAAAAAAGAGGAAGTCAAAGTCTATAGACTCGTTGGAAACCTGGCTTTGTTAACATAA